GGCACAGAACCCAGGGAGGTCCCCAGGGGAGGCAGCAGCAGGACCAAGCAGCCCCTGCCCGGGGGCCAGGCCGGGGTGGGGCATGGGGGAAGCGAGAGCCTGGCAGGGGGAGGAGCCCCAGACAGGGGTGAGGAGGGGGGGCATGCTCTAGGCCAGCCCCTGGCCTCTGGCGTGTCCTTCCTCGGGTCTGAAATGGGCACCACCCCGGGTCCTACGGCCGGACAGACACCGCCGGGACTGGAGGCCCACACGGGCGGGGTTGGGCCCTGCTCAGAGGGCCACCCGGCGAGGGTGGACACGTGTGGTCCCTGACCTCAGGCCGGGCCTGGCACTACCTAGGAGCCAGGAGAAGTGGCAGGAGAGGAGAAGACGGGAGGAGAGGAGTGAGGAGCGGATGGAATCACTCCCTTCTTTCCTCCCGTCTTCCCCCTCTCCCCCGCAGCAGGCTCAGTGAGGGGGCGGGGCCAGGGGCTTCGCACGGGGTGCCCAGGGGGCGCCCCGGCGGGAGGAGGGCGGGGAGCCCCATCACAGGGTCCCCGAGCGGGGGCTCGGCCCACCCCTCCTCGGGAAAGCCCGAGGCAGGGGCGCTCCTCCCCGAGCAAGGACCAGCCGGCGCCAGGCCCCACGGCGCCACTTCCTGTCCCCAGACGAGGCAGGCACGAGGGAGGGCACGGGAGAGGCCAGGTGGGCAGGGGCTTCCAGAGCGTGAGCAGCGGGGGCACTTTCCAGAGAGAAGCTTGGAAAGGCGTCTGCCTCCTGGGAGCCCATTTCCCAGGCAAACAAGCAGGGGCTGCAGAAATGCCACACAGCCAGCATCAGGTGGGAAAGACAGGGCGGCCCGTGCCAGCAAGGGGAGGCCCCGTGCCCCCAAGCCCCCTGGGCATGCCTGGGTGTCATGCTGGCTCCTGCGTCTCTCCCCAGCCCCCACCCAGGCCCCTCTTCTAGGGGGCGGGCCTACAGGACGGGCGAGTCCACAGCCCCAAGTTGGAAACCAAGAGAGGAAACAAGGTCACAGCACTCCTGGGGGCAGCAGGCGGGCACCCTGTACGGTGGCTTTGGGGCCCCAAGCGCCCCCTCCCCCAGCTGACTTCCCAGGGACCCCAGGAGGCTCACGCACACTCCGCCCTGCTGCACACCGGCGTTACTTTGATTGACTTTCAGTCTGTTTCATGGGATTTTGAATCTGATCACCCATGAACACGCACCCCTTCCGAGCCTGCTGTGCTGCCCAAAGGGTGTGGTGTCTCGGTGGTGGGGGCCTCGAGCCCCCCCACCGGAAGCTCCAACCCCAGAAGAGACCCCATGGTTCCCAGAGGGGGCAGCAGGTCCAGCCCGTTCTCCCAGGAGGCCTGCAGTAGGTGCCCGCACATGCCAGCTGGAGGGCCAAGGTCTCAGAGCAGGGAGCCAGGCCTTGACCTCGGCGCGTCTTCCCTGGCCGGAGGCTAGGTGTCCCCGCCTGTCACACAGGGCGCCCGCCCGATGACGCTGTCCCGCCCCGGGGGAGCGCCCCCCACCCCCGCCGCCCCGAGCTACTTACTGAAATAGAAGCCGCGGTCCCCACAGACGAACTGGAGGGTGTCCACCAGCTCCCCGCCACACAGGGTCTCGCTGGGGCGGTAAGCAGCAATGCAGCACGAGGCGAAGGCCAAGAAGGTGAGAAGCTTCACCACCGACTTCCCCATCGGGATTCCCGTTGGTATCTGGGGGCAGGAGAGCAGCCGCGTGAACTGGTGGCCACCGGCCGGCACCCCTCCCAGGCCAGACGGGCTGGCCACCCCGGCACGGAAGTCCGGTGGAGATGTTCGACCGCGGCACGGCTTTCTCACACCCCACGTCCTCATCACAAAAGTCGCACACACGCTTGGCGTGCAGAGGCACTCGGAACGAGGACGCAGGCCGGAGTGAGCACAAAGGGCTGGGGGGCCTTGATGGGCGGCGAGTGCCAGCAACGCTCGAGTGGGGCGACCCTCCCCACGTCGCCGCAGGAGCTTGGCCTCACCCACGGCTGCAGGGGCCCATGCTGGACGCAGACCGGCCCCTGTCCTATGACATCATGGAGGCGGGGCCAGTCCAAGGGCCTGTCACCACTTCTCAGGCCTCCAAGCACTGGCCAAGATGGCAGATACAGGGGACCGAGGTCCCCCGCCCCTCCCCCCTCCCCCCAGCTGAGCAGGGGGGTCCAGGAGGACCACCCTCTCTCAGAGCAGCAGGCCGGCCCTGTGGAGCCAACTCCCTCCCCTCCCCTCCCCCAGGGCTCTCCCCCACTCCAGTCGGAGGCTCGGAGGAGCCCAGACCAGTGGTTAACGCCACCATGCGCCCATGTTCGGGGGTCTTGCTCTCCTGGTCACCCAGTCCTCCAGCTCCAGTCTGCCCTGGGCACCCCAAAACATCCGAAAAAAGCCAACGCCTCCTTCCCAGGCCTCGAATCACACCGCTAAGGCCAGGGGCCTCCAAGTCCCTCCGAGACCACCAGGCATGGCCCCACGAGACGCGGGCAGTGGGAGCCGGGCGGGACAGCCCAGACCACTGGGAGGCCAGACCCCGTGTCCCTCCGGGCCAAGCCTGGAAGGGGAGGCACGCCGCAGGACACACCCCCTCGCTGCGGGGCCGCCGGGCAAGGGTCAGCCGACCCCCTTGGGGGTGGGGGCCCGGGACCGCCACAGTGAGCCGCCCCTGCCCCTGCAGAAGATGGAGCTCTCCAGGCCGGCAGCCCCAGCCTCCCCTCCACAGGCCCAGGGGAGCCTTTGATGCAATAAATCATGTGAGAGACGGAACGGGGAGCAGGAAAGAAACACAATCTCGCGACGCCTCTCCAGGCAGGGCGGCCCCACGCAAGAGCCCAACACCTCCGGGTCGTCTCCTGGACCAGCCCCCGCCAGGCTCCCACCGCCCCCTCTGCCATCCCTTCCAGGTTCCGGGCACACACTTGGCCGGCCAGCGGCCGGTGGCGGTGGGTCTGAGCAGCCGCGCCCTGCAGCCCTAGCTGACCCTCTGCAAACCCCACCAGGCCGGGCTCGGAGTCCGGCCAAAAGCGGGAGGCCGGACAGGAGGCACGCGGCGCTTCGGGACAGGTGAGGCCCAGGAGGGAGGCCCGGAGCCCCAAGCAGGGCGAAGAGGGCGGCCGAGGGAGGGAGTGGAGGGGGAAGGGGCAGGTGAGGAGGCCGAGAGCCAGGTAGGGGGCCGGGGCGGCCGAGCGAGGGCGGAGGGGTGCTCCGGGCGGCAGGCCGGTGAAGGCCCAAGGCCGGGGCGTGGGCTGGTGCCGGCCGCCGCAGGCTGCAGCGGGATGGCAGCGGGGTCCTCGCTCCGCAGCCCCGGTTACCTGCAGCTGGACAGGAGGCTCGCTGGGGCTGGAGGCGGAGGAGGAGGAGGTCTCTCTCACAGGAGAAGCTAATGTCCAGTTTGCAAGCTGGTCAGTGCTTCAGCTTTTTATGTCTGAGCCGGCTCCTCCCCGCCCCGGCTCCACCCTACCCCCA